GTTTCTGCTGCCATCAGATATATAGGTGCAAAAAAGTGGCAACTCCGGCTTAACAGCAGACGAAAAAACTACATGGAACTACAGGGACGTAGAGAGGTAGACAGGTGGATGTAGAGAGATGACAATCAGGCAGCCAGCCAGGCAGACAGCGGAGAACGGAGAAGGAGACGGGCGAACACTGAAAGTTGACAACAAGATGTACAACAACAGTAAAAAAAAAAAAAGAAACATTCATACAACCATTGAATGTTAAACCTCCAAATGCCCTTGCAGATGTAGGGTCTCTTCATAAATTGTGTGTTCGTGGAACATTTACGTATTTAAAACGAAAATACAACTCATCTGAAGGGAGCTACATCTACCGAGAGCCTAATTAAAAATATAAATTCATTGATTGTGTCCTTCTGTGCACTGCAAACTTCTCCACAGAGCTGTGGTGCCCGGCTTCCCAGTGTGAGGGTATAAAACGAAATGGAAAATGGGAGATACAAAATGCAAGCAGCACAGGTTCGTGCAAGCTGAGAAATAAACAGGAGCCCAGGATTTTATTTGTTTGGCGCGTTGGTGTTGTCGTTGTCGTTGTCGCTGTCGTTGACTGTACCCGTCCCGTTCCCTGCTGCGGGGTGTTGTTCCTTTTTTTTTTTGCACTTCCATCATGCAGGTAAAGTAAATTATGCGACGTGCAAAATCAATAAATCAACACGTTTATTGCTGTAAACGTATTTGGGTCCTGTCCCGTGTGGATATTGGGGTTCCTTGGATAAATTGCTGCTGGTGTTGGCAGTGGGGAGGCGACAGAAAGGGGTAGAGCTCAGCCGTTAATGCATTTATAGCAGCGAATGAAAATTGCATACCAACACGAGCAGCACACAGCGGGCTACAACCATTTGCCAATGAATTGCAAATCTGAGCAAAGCATTCCCCCAGCTTCCTGAGCAAAGCATTCCTCCGGCTTTCTGTTGCTGTGTGCTGTTCTTGCCACGAAGGCGGCGGTGGCGGCGGCAGCGGCGGCGTCGGCTGTTGCACCAAAGTCTATGCAACAGCTGCAATTCATTACAAATGTGATTTCCCTTTTAGCGTCGAAACGCGCGGAAAACTTGCTGAAATTTTCCGCGCAATTTTCAAGCTCGGTGCCTGCTCCAAGAGCAATGCAAGAGCAACCTCCTCAAAGCGAAAACTTGCACACACAGACACACCGCATGCACTCATCCAAATACACCACGTTCACACACATATACGCCCTATGTGTGTGTGTGTGTATTTCCATAGTTTCGGTTTAGATGGGGCTGGTGCTGGTGCTGGTGCTGCTGATGGTGCTGAGTGTGTGTGCTCGGCATACCTTTGGTTTGCTTTGGCACATCGCACATCTTGAGTGCTTTATTGTTATGTTTTAAAATTCAATGAATTCTAAAAATTTTCCACAAACCTCCCCACCACCCAGGCCCATGATGCTCCCAGTCCAGCCAGTCCAACAACAATATCAACGACAACGAAAAAGTCGACAGAATTTGCAGTCAGAACATTAACAATAGCAAAAGTGTTCTCTGCTGCTGCTCCTCCTGCTGCATTCGTTTATTTAAGCCATATGGGTGCTGTGGTGCCTAGTGCTGGTGCTGTTTCGGGCCAGGCACAGAAGCAAACAAGGTCAAAGCGGTACAACGGAGACAATTGGAAGCAACGAGAGTAGAATTCAAATGTAAATGCAAATGCAAATGCAGACGACGCCAACAAAATGATGTCAGAGACAGCTCTGATTAAAGCAGGCTGCAACATAAAGAATTAAATAACTTTTAAATATGCATTCCGAAAGCTGTGAAAAGTGTCACCAAATGGTAGGAAATAACATTTAAAGATTACATACTACCCCATCAGAGATGGGCAGATGCGATTGTGGCACAACCTAGACTTGCCAGACATTGCACAGATCCTTAACTATAACATTTTAGTGTTCCTAAATATTTATTACATAGTCATCAAACTCTCATTACTCATTAAATTGTTTATCCGCAGATGATTATTTATTTATTAGTCATTTTCGATGACTTTAATAGTAAATCAGTTCCATTTTTATACAAACTGGAAGCTCGGAAATTATAACCTCCCCTCCCCCATCACCCAGGAATTAGGACATTCCAGAAATTTGAACCGCGCATTTTACTGCATGGGCGACTGTGGAAGAATTTTGATATTGCCCACACAGTTTTACCTTTTTGGTTGAAGTAAAAATAAAAATGGTAATCCCCGAAATTTGTATGGTATATACAATTCGGTCATATGCATGTGATATTTAATATGCCTGTGGAAATTTGTTAGAAATTTTCAGGAACCAAGTGGTTTTAATTTCCGAACCTCCACTGTACTTCTATAACATTTCTTATATTATTTATTTAGTTTTTTTTTGTTGTATTTTTAAACATTCTGAATTGAACACATTGGTGAGATATTGCTCCGTTGATCTATCTCAACGGAAACTTAATCCATACGGTCAGTAGCAGAATTGAATACTGTCCAGCCTTTGCGCCATTTGCATAAGCGTGTCCGTTGATGTGCAGGTTCGTCCATCAGTCCGTCCGTCTGTCTGCACGTTAAAAAAAAAACATGACTCAATGCACTTGATAAACATGAAATTGCTTCGAGAGCTGAACACACAAAAGAAACCGATGCATAAATTTTCGGTGCTCGGATCCTTGCCCAGGGCAGGGACAATGACATGCCAGCAGCAGAGAACCGGGACACAGACACAGACACGGACCATAATTACGGGCCGAGCAACAGCTGCCAACGGAGTGGGTCTGGCGCCTGCGCTGATGCAATAATAATTAAGCGTGCACTGCGTCCTGGGTATGCATATCCACACGTATGGGTCCAAAAAGTGAATGAATGCAATTTGGTCGCCAAAGGCAACGCTCACCACACATGGCATTGACTTATTGTGCCCGAAGGCACGGCAGGAGACTGCAACAGGACCTGGACTCAAACAGGACCCGAACCAAGACCATGTCCAGGGTCCTGCGTATTTTGTGTAGGCCACGAGCCAAATGTCTCTTTTGTGGCCGTTGATTTCCAGCTATTGTTGTGCCCAGCCCCAGACCAGGCTGCGCCTCACTGGACAGCGTCAGGCATAATTTTAATTTCAAGCAATCGCTGTACTTGACGGCACTTGATGTGCACGTTGTGCTGTGGCTGGACAATGAATAAATGGTCGGAATCTGTCGGACACTTCATCTATTGTTGCCGACCCTTCTCCTTCTCGTCCATCAGCCTCTGCTTCAATTATAATTTTGAAGTCCACATCAAGACAAGCAATCAGCTCACTTGTATCGCATTACATCAATAGAAGTCAGCAATTTATGCATTTCCCCATCTAATTGTTGAGGTCAAGTCTTGAGTATCAGCATCATTCATTTCCAAAACCAAATGCGATTATAATACATATAATACAGACATCAAGTTCCACCATAATGATGAGGTTGACCAACAAAGGCTGCATCATCTGACTTGCTTCCGTGTTCATTGGCCCTTCCGGCGTAATCAAGTGCACATAATGTGCAACTCCATTGTGGGCTGCAAGTCGTGCGGGCACGTCATTAATACTGAACTGGCTTTCCAGCAGAGTCCCCGCAAGAGTCGCCAGATGCACAAAGTACAAATCATTCAATTTATCACAGTCAGGACAGCCAGGACAGCCAGACCCTTTCGCACTTGCAATGTGATTCCGTCAAGTTGCAGGACCGTTCCTGCAGGTCCCTTAGCAGGATTTTTACTAGTATGTATAATTTTCAGAGAGCCTGAATACAAAAATGATTCATTTTTTAATTTGATTGATAAATGGAAATTATGCAAGCAAAAATTGTATTTTCTTGCTAGCTGTGGAATGACCATTTTATTTCTTACCTTAATTCCAATCGGAGGCATAAACTATGAAAATTCTAAAATATAAATAGCATAAATAGTAATCAGTAATCATAAGTGGAACTACTATCGCATGTGGTTTTAATTGACTTTGATGCATGTCCCTCCTGAAATAATAATAGTCCAGATATCATTATTAAATAATCTGATCTTTAAGCTATATATTTTAATAGGCCTTCAACCACCATATGCTTCCGATACTATGAATGGATTTAACTTTTGCTCCTTTTCCTTTTGCAACTTTGGCCACACGCATTTGGTGCGATGTGTGTGTGCACCCATACATCTGTCCGGATCTCTGGTAGTGCCCATTTATGACTTGTCATTGGAAATGCGTTCCTGCTGGGCGGCCAGTGGCAGCTCAGCGGAGTGGGGGAGTGGCTGGGTTCAGGGTAAAGAGAACTGGAACATGGATGTGGATGTGGATGTGGAAATTCAAATGAATTTTTGCGCTCGCTCCGCAACGCTTTTAATTGAAAAACATTTTCGTTTTGGTTTCGGTTTTGGGTTTTGTCTGCGCCAGAAAAACGCGCGGCAGCCACTTGCTGGCCATAAGCCTCTTTCGGCTCTGGCCCATACCTCCTGCCTACTGCCTACTGCCACCAGCCTCCTGCCTCCTTCCTGCTGCCTCCCGCCTGGTGGCAAACAATTCCACCACAAGACCATGGACCGAATATGGGCATGCGACGTACTGTGCGCACGCGTTCGTGCATAAATTCCACCAAGTGTCCATTTTTCTGATTTGTGTGCAAAGTTTTTTCCTTGTTATTTGGCCACCACCGCCGCTCTGCGTTGACTGACTGCCCCAGGATGAGATGGAGATGGAGGTGGAGATGCAGACTGGAGACTGGAGGCTGGAGGCTGAAGGAGGCTGGGAATGGGTCCGGCAGGATTATGGGGATGGGGTAAGAGAACAAGGATTGGTAAACCGAAGCCGGGAGTCTTGTTGCCTTGGCTTGCTGGGCGCATGCAAATGCGAGCGCAAATAGAAAACGAATTCATTCAAAGAAGTAGTGAGAATTTTCTATTAAATTTCCGCGGCCAGAAAAGAAATGCGTACAAACAAGAAATTAAAATACAAGAGCGAACGTTTTGAGAATTTTTAATTAAAATAGAATGCCAAAGGGAAACTAGAAAATTCCCCAAAATGCGTTTAATCAACGCTGGAAAAATCAACTTTTCGCTAGCCATTCCATGCACATTGCGCATACGCCGCGTGGCTCTGTCCCCCCAGTCGAATCCATTCAGATCCAAATACCAGTGACAGCTAATCATGTTGTCTTTGTGTCTATATCCGTTTCCGTGGTATGATTCTGCTCCAGTTGATGGCCATTTCGTATGCACTCTGAGGCGCTAGGCTTTAGGTAGTCCTCGGCATCCCAGGCCTGCTGGTCGGTGGTGCCCCAAATGATGTACACCAAGTTGCCGAAGAAGAACACAACGGCTGTCATGCCAAACACAATTTGCCACTGACTGCGCGAGCCCTGCAAGGCGAAATCGAACGCGTTAATAGAATTCCTTTTCGCAAGCGAATCTCTGATGCGATTAATACTCACCATATCGGTGACAATGACGCCCACGAGCAGGGGAGTGAGCAGCGGAAATATGTTGCCAATGCCATTCACAATTGCCATCAGCATGCCGGAGTGATTGGGCGACATGTCAATGATGGTCAGAATGCTGCCAATGCCGGAGCCGGCGTTCAGGCCCGCATTGATGGTCATCAGAGTGATGGCTAAGCTGGTCTGGTCCTTGTCCAGGAAACCAATACCAATGAGCGCCGCTGCCGGGCCCCAATACGACATCGTGTTGATGGACTTGCGCAGCGTGGTGAGTGACATCCACTGGCGGGACATGGCGACGTCGGCGAACACCAGATACACGTAGGACATGCACCACATGGCCAAGAAGGGCAGCGCCGAGTAGAGGGCATTGCTCTTGATGTCCATCTCGAGGACGCCGTGCATGTACGAGGGCGTCTGCAGCTGCATCGTGGAGTTGGCCCAGCCCTGAGCACTGCGCACGATCAGCAGGGCATAGAACGGCACCGAGCTCCAGATGGCGCGCCACGGAATGGGAATTTTCTTGGCATGGAATCCGTCCTGCCGCCTCATCGAGCGCTCTATGTAGTCGCGCTCCCTGGAGCCGATTAGATGCGAGCTGGGAGCGTTGTTCGAGCCGAGGGTCAGCCAGAGCAGGCACCACACTGCGCAAATGCCAGCGGAAACGTAAAAGATGCCTGGCCAGCCCATGGAGCTGTTGGCAATGAGGCCACTGCTTGCCATGGCCACCACCGTGCCGCAGTCCGCTCCCGAGTAGGCAAACACGCCCAGTCGGTTACGATCTTCTGGCGGTGACCACTTGGCCAGGTGCTCGTGGATGCAAGGGAAGATCAGGCCCTGGAACAGACCCGCCACCACCCGGATCACGCTGAACGCCTTCCAGCCGCCCCAGCTGATGCAGTAGGGCGTCAGTGCACTCAAGATGGCTGTCGCGAAGGTGGGAATGAAGAGCACGCTCTTTGCCCCGAAGCGTCTGACCAGAAACCCGGCCGGAAACTGGGTGATAATATAGCCCCAGTAGAAGCTGGACAGCACATATGACTTCTGCGCCCCCGTCCAATCGTACTCCTGCAAATGGAAGGCATACGGTTACTACTGGCAGCGTGCCACAAACGAGTTTAGCTCACCGGAAAGTCGGGATTGGTGGTGGCGGCATCCGTCATGGCCACCACGGCCACACTGACATTCAGGCGCGCTACGTAATTGGCGACGATTGCCAGGAAAAGGAGCAGCGCCTGCAGATGGCGGATGCCGATGAGGGGACCTATGGGCGGAAATTCAAGTTGGTCAAGTTGGTTCGCAATCGATGGCAATCGGGGCCAGTGCACTTGATAATTTTGCAGCACGTGTCATAGCTGTAAGGCCAAATCACTTGATTGCCGCGAAACAAGTTTATTTTTTAATCAAAATTGCCTAAATAAATAACTCAAAGGCAATTCGAGCTAAAGTCTATACATCCCACCACCAAATGCAACATTTTTCCAGTTCCCGAAACGCACTGCACAAGCACCAAAATATTCTTTGGTCAATAAATTTGTTAAACTTCATTGCTGTGTGATGCAAAAAGTGCGATGCGTTTGGCGGGGCCAACTCTTTAACCGAGTTTATCGACCAGCCTTCAGCGTGGTTTCAGGTTGAGGCATAAATCATATCGAGGCGCAGGTTATAAATTTAAAAATGCCCCCAATTCGAGTAGTGCGGAAAGCTGCAGAATTATCCGATGGATAATCAACCTTATTTTACGATACGAGTCGAGTATCCCACACAATACGTTTTAATTGATAATTTGATCAAGATTATTTCCCAACCTTTTGTCGATATTAGTTTGGTTCCTCTTGCAACATTTCAGGCAATGTATCAATATTAAAAAGGAATTTCCAGATTTCCTTTAATTATTACTTTTAATCGAATCATTTAAAGTGCCATCGCTGGCTTAGCTTATATGTAAGTGTGTAATTCTTTTAAATGTTTATTCAGAATACTCTAAAATTTAGAGTCTAAATGAATCGTTTTAATTTAATAGCTTCTCCAAACTTTGGTTTGGCAAGGCTTCTGTTTTGGCGTATGTATATAACCGATTTATCATTGATTTTTTCCATGCTGCATTTGCTATTTCTTTGTGAATTAAAGTTTATTTAATTTTGCGCCGTAAATTTGCCATTCCATTTGATTTACAAAATACACTTCACATGAATTTATTATCGATGGGCCATGCATATGCACGGATTCGTTAAAATCCGCTTATAATAATAATAATAATATTATTATTTATTAGTTGTTTTTATTTTCACAAAATATCACAAAACTCTGGTTTCTGTGGGGATGCTCAAAGCACTTTGGGGATTATAAATTCATTCACCTTTTTGCTCAGCGGCGGCGTTCATGGTATTTAATTTGGCATTCAAATTGGGCATCTACCACGTACGATTTCTCTTTCTCTGGAGGAACGCGAGAAGTGTGAAGAGAGGGTTTTTTTTTGGGCTGGTCAGACAGAAAAAACAGTCGCGTCTACGCGTGCCAATAGCTGAAATACGTCTGAGCGTGTAATTTAAAGCTCTGCTCCAGCGGACGTCGATTATGGCGGCAATTAGACATCGAAATCCAGACTGGGGCTGTGTTCTTTTATTCGTTTTATCATGCTGCTGATTAAGCGGCGCGATAACTGGATGCTACCTGCCGCATTCCCGCATTTGAGGGCATATACCAGTGCCATGTTACCACTGGTTTTACAAGTTGCTTTAATGCAAACATTGGTAATATAACCGAGACACAGTACGCCCTCTCAATTTGTGCGATCTCATCTCTCCGCTGTGGGAACTGTTATGGCGGAATCAGTCACCCAAGCAGTCCCCGGCACCGAACCGAACCGAAACGAATCAACTCAACAAATTTGCGATTCCAAACACAAAACATTTATACGCCATACATATGTAGTATAGAAATTGCAGCAATTTTCTGATTGTAGGTGTCATTAAGTTAGTGAAAAGCTGCTTAATACATGTCATCATTGGGTATAAAAAGTGTTTTTATGGCGAGAACCCACAAACCAATTGATTGGATAATCGAATCAGCCGATAAGCAGGGAATCCCATAGGCTCGACTACGATCTACCCTACAAAATAGAGTTGTTCACAACAGTGAGAGATCTGTACTGGTTCACTGTTATTCTTACACTGCCCAGCACTGGCACAAAATTAATCTTTGATTGCGCCATCAACATTACTTGCTTCGGTCTTTATTCTGCTCTGGCATCACCTTGTCTTTGGCCTCCGTTACTCTTTCACTCGGATGCCCGAGCATAATTTTTCCATTATTGGAAAGATCGGGCACGTCTTGGGTGTCTTCCCTTTCGCAACACTCCACAGGGCACTTGTGCAGAAAATCATCGGCATCCCAGGGCTGCAGTTCGTTGGAGCCCCAAATGATGTACACCCAGTTGCTGAGAAAGAATACAAGTGCGATCAGTCCGAATACAATCTGCCACTGATAACGATTCGTCTGTCGAAAGGATTGGAATTTGGAAATTGGAAATCGAAGAGCTTTAGCTTGATGACGAATCGTACTTACCGGATCCGTAACAATGGCACCCGTAACGAGCGGAGTCAGCGGCGTAAAGACGTCTGACAGGACACACATGATGCCCATCAGAAGCGCGGAGTGGTTGGGCGACAGGGCAATGATGTTCATTCTGCCGCCAATGCTGGAGCCGGCACTAAGTCCCGCCTTGATGGCCATCAAAGTGACAACCAAACCGGCATTTTTTCGATCCAGAAAGCCAATGGCAACGTACAGCAGGGCCGGTCCCCAAGTGGATACCGTGACGATCCATTTTTTCAATGGAGTCGGTCGGATCAGGTTACGCACTAAGGCTATATGTTCGACGAGGATGTACACATGGGACATGATCCATCGCACAATATAGGGCAGCGCCGAGGTGAGGCCGTTCCGGGTGATGCTCATTTGCAGGACACCATGCAGATACGAGGGTATCTGCACCTCCATTGTGGCATCGGCCCAGTGCTGAGCACTGTTGACCACCACCAGGGCACGGAACGGCACTGAGGCAAATATCGCCTTCCACGGCACGGGTATTTCTCTCCTGGGGCATGTGTGAGCACTCTTCAGAGAGCTCTCAATGTAGCTGCGCTCGTCCGCGCCAATCCAGTGCGAGCTGCCGGGCTCGTTCTCGCCCCAGAAGAACCAGAGCAGGCACCAGCACAGGCAGGATGCTGCCGAAACATACGAGATTCCCGGCCAGCCGATGGAACTGTTCGCAATGTACCCACTGCCGAGCAGGGCCAGGATTGTGCCGCAGTAAATGCCCGAGTAGGCGATCACTCCCAGGTGTTTGAGTTCCGCTGGCGGCGACCACTTGACCAGATGCTCGTGGATGCAGGGTAGCATCAGGCCCTGGCACAGACCCTGGCTCAGCCGGATCGCACAGAATGCCCTCCAATCGCCCATCTTGATTCCCGAGGGTGTGCAGACGCAGAACAGGGCTACGACAAAGGTTGGCACGAGCATGGTCATCTTGGCTCCCAGACTCCGGACAACGAAGCTGCCCGGAATCTGCATCAGCAAATAGCCCCAGTTGAAGCTGGAGAGGATGTAGGATTTCTCGGCCTCTGTCCACTCGAATTGCTGCAATTGCACAATGATCATAAGTACACAACCCCACAACAGAATCCACAAATGATCCCATGTTGATGTGGTACCTGAAAACTTTGATTGGTGGCTGCTTGCTCCGTCATGGCCACTATGCGCACGCCCACATTCAGGCGGACTATGTAGCTAACGGTCAGGTTGAGGAACAGCAGTGCCACCTGCAAGTGACGAATACCTAGCGAAGGACCTGTGCAAATAAAAAATAAAGCATAAGTGGTGCCATCACGGATCAGCTGAGGGTGGAGAAGAAGCTAGAACTTTACTTTTTTCATCCATTATATTTCTTGAGAGATAATTATACCAGATCGGATCCATTATCCGTGGGCGCTGTGCTGGCAAAATCCCCGAGAACGAGACGATCCGCACAGCAGCTAAACTGCACCTGAATTTTACTTTGCAGTGGGAAACCATTTGAAGCTTATTGAAAATATGTAAAATGTAATTAATAAATGTGTTTTACCAAAAACAGTTGTTTCTTACTAAATAAAGCTTTATAGGTATAAAAATAAAGGAACAATTAGCTGCAAACATTGAGAAAATGTATCGTGTATTGTTTTTTGTTATGCCACAAACATGAAAACTTAAGAACCATTTTGAATACAGTCGAATCTCAAAAATAGGAACCACTTTGTTCCTCGGGTTGTATCGGACGTATCTCAAAAGTTCTCATTTCTGGACCTTTTTTTTCTGCACAGAAAATTACAATAAGAAATAATGAGTACAAAAATAAATTTAATCACATTAATTTTATATTGAACTTTTTAATTATTTTTTATATTTTAATATTATAATTTTCACTTTATACTTTCAGCCAGCAACTAATACAAATTTCACATGCTTGTGACCGAGTTGTACACACCACTAATAGCTCGGGGTCTCCCCGTCTTATATTTACTTACAGAGCTTGCTGACAAAGGCAAAACATTAATTAATCTGGCATATCCATTATTACAGCTTACAGCTATTTGGTTACAACCAAACTCCCTTCATAATTGAACCTACAGCATGTGTAATAAATGGTAAACATTTCTATTACTTAAAAAACACATAAAAAACTATTATATTCATTTTAATCAAATAAAATGCAAATGCAATACCAAATCATGCGGATGGTTATTCCTGAACTTTTTATCTAACTCCCTAAAGATATGAAGGATATTCACATATGTATATATGTATGTATTCTTTTTTTTTGAATTGAAAAAATGTTTGCAAGCTTGCCCCTAGCTACGAGCATAAGCATGGATAAGCGAAGTTACAAAGAGCAGCGGGGCAGACAGCTTTTTGCTACGAGCAGCTGCAAAATAAATGTGAATTTCATGAAATAATGGCGCTAAAATACTTTATGATGCAAAATGTATGGCGCCAGCAACAAGAACAGCAATAGAGGCAGCCACAACAAGTGCAAGGAGATGTGTTTTTGGGTTGTGGGGAGTGGGGCAGCACCAGCACCAGCTAAGCGGCAAGCAGCTGCCACAATCAAGTCAACAAGAGGCGAAAAATGCTCACACAGATGCACACATGGAGATGGCCGGGCCGCAACATGGTAAATGGACAGGACACGCTGTATGCCCAAAGTATGGGATATATGTGTGTGTGTGTGTGTGTGGCAGGGTCTAAGGTCATTTTCAATTTGCATAAATCATGTGAGACCACGTGGGGGGGGGGGCACGGGCACGGGCACAGTATGCGGCTGTGGCTTGCGGAGCTGCAACAGAAGTTTCCATCGTGTGAGTGTGTGTAAGCGATCGACTGTAAGCACGGGCTATTACTGGGCATCAGCCATCCAAAAATGTACCAAAAATACTATATGCATACACGCATATATGTATATGTATATGTATGTTTGTATTTAATCAGACACTGCGTATACGCAATGGGATCCGAGTCACCCGACTATCTGCTGTAGTTGCAGCATCTGTTCGCAGCGGGTGGAAGTTTGGGCTTGGCCACCAGCTAGGCGTAGTCATAAGGTCAACCGCATGCAGAGGCAGCCACCGCCGGCCAGTGCCAATCCAAGCTGCAGTCGGACTGAGCATAGGACTTTGATTTATAAGACTTTCATACGGCGGCGGTTGGTCGCCGGTCTGCTGTTTGGATCATTTGTGAATCATGTCAAGCCGTTTTTGACTTTGATTTATATGCTGTGCATATGCAGGGGGCTCGAGCCCCTGCCAGGCCACAGCTCCTCGCCCGCCAAAAACCATTTGCAGCGAATGGCCAATTTTACCCAGGATGAACGCGCACGGAGCGACATGGCCGGCACGCGGAAACGCAGACGACAAATGCTGTAGAACGCAAAAATGCAGAAGCGAAAATGGGAAATGCAAATGCAAATGCATAGGCAAACGGCGCCGCCAGCATGCCACGCCCACCGCCGCAAAACATGCCACTGTAACCGAAATTATTTGTATCAAGCCGAAAATTTCATTTCATTCGAAATGCACCACCGAAAGGCCCACCGAAATTGTGTTCTCTCTGTGGGCAGGGCAGGACAGGGCAAGGCAGGTTCGGTTGGATCCGCGTCGCTTCATTGTCCTCCCCGAGTTGAGCCGCATAGTACAATTTACGTAAAACCGCTTAATTGCGTTGAAATTATTTTGTTTATCTGCTCGAAAGCGGCCACGGCCCAACCAAATGCATTTCCCTGCGGTTGTACTTCCTAGTAGCAGTTGCCGCCCTGTCCCTGTCCAAAGGAAGTGTCCCGGAATGTCATTTATGTCTAATAAAAGATTCTGCCACAGCTGATCATAAAATCATAGTTTAAAATATTATGCATATTAAACAGCGAATAAAATCTAAATATAAATTCATATATACTCGTATGGTCTGATTCCTAAATAATGGCACAAGCCACGTAAGATAAGCTTATAATTATAGTTAGGCATAAATGGAGCACGGGACTGTACTGGCGGGGAGAATATACAAGAGGGGATACTGAATAGAATAGGCCAACAGTATTGGGGCGTCTTGTACATTGCTTAAGCAAAACAATTCCCTATTGCTGCAGTGTCATATTGAACTTGCCTATGGCCTCGCCCACGTATTTCTCCTTTCGACCAGCTCGGATTTGAGGAGTGCTCGGAACTGCTGCAAATTGGGCATGGTGCGGCAGTCGCGAACGTTGAGCAGTCCCCGGAAAATGGTCTCCCAGGTGTCGCGCTGGAAGTAGCGTGGCAGGGCTGTCTTGGGCATCCAAATGCCGCTCGGCTGACGCTGGGCCACCTCCATGTAGCGACCAAACAGCAGCACATGCATGACGCTCACCAGACCAAACAAATCCAGCTGATATGTCCAGGGGCGCTGGGTGCGCATTTCGATGCACTTGAACGATTCATCGTGGTGCACATAATTGAATGCCTGATTGGGCGGAAAGAGCTTGGTGTCGATGGCCACACCGAAGTCAATCAGCTGCAGGCTCAGCTCGTTGGGTTGCGCACACAATCTGCAGGCAGCGGAGGAATAGTAAGTAAGTAAGTAGTAATGGGAAAGGGAACGCACAAGATGCTTACGGTCTCATGACCAGAATGTTATCCGGCTTGATGTCCGCGTGAATGATGCCAATGGCGTGCAGATGATCCACAATGTCCAGCAGCTGGCAGCTCATGTGCATCACAACGTACTCGTCGAGGTTCTTGTTCGTGTGTTTCTTGATCTTGTTGCACACATTGATTAGCGAGCCGTACTCCGAGAGCTCCGTAATGTAGACACTGGAGTTGTTCCCCACCAAGGCGTAATCGATGTGCATGAAGGCTGGGATCTGCAAGAAATCAGGGTAGGAAATCAGCGGTTGGAACAAACGAGGTTCCGCCTTGTTCAGCACTCACCATTAGGTCGCTGGTGAGGCGACTGTGCACCTCCAGACATATATAGAACTCCCAGTAGTTTGTGGGTCGCTCCTGCTTCAGGGCCATCTTTTTACCCGACTTGCCGTGTCGTCCGGCAAAGACCGAGCCGTAGGCTCCCTTGCCAATGATTTTTCCCACATCGAATTTCTCGCCATGCAGCTCCAACTGCGTGCCCGACTGCAGTCGCTTGACATTGCCCACCAGCTGGCAATGGGGCAGCTTCTCAATGTACATCGAAAAGTCGATGGAGTCCAGCAGCGAGTTGATCAGATCCACATTGAACGGATTCAAATTGCTGTCGGCCAGCGTGCCATTCAACACCGACTGATCCACGTTCGCCTTGGGATGGACAAATACTTTGTTTGGCGGCGTCTCGAAATCAGCCTGAGCCCACGAATGGTTCGACTGCTTTGGGGTCAATGGAGTCTTTTTATAGTAGATGCTCATCTCCGCCTCTTTGTCTGCATCTGCATGTGCCTCCGCAGGCAGTTCGAGCCTGGCCGGAACAACCGGAACAGGCGGAACAGGTGGCGGCAACAGCGTCGAGTTCTTGATCATGCTTATGTTGGTGGCAAACATCTCTGTGGCCGCATTCAGCTCAAAATAGTCGCCAGACTGCTTGTCCCCTCTGGCTGTGCTCTTCCTGGGGGATTTCCCAAGCGATTTGGACATGGAATCACTGAGGAACTTCAGAGCGGTAGAGGAGCGTTTATTGCTTGTAGAAGCAGCGGCCGCGACCGCAACTGGCACGGGCTGCGGTGGCGCACAGCTGCTCAGCTCTGTGCAATCCTTCATAAACGAGGCCATCAAGTGGGCAGGGCCAAAGGTCTCCTGCTTGTCAACGGGATCCTTCTGCATTGGCATCTGCGTCTCGGGTAGCGTGCAGTCCAAGGTAAAGCTGCTGCGTTGGGCAGCACTGGATGGAGCTGCTGCCTCTGGCATGGTCTCATCCAGGAAAATTTCGAACTTTTTTTGCATGGACGCGGCTGCGTCTGCGCTTGCTGGCTTCGGCATGGACATTAACTCCACTGCAGCAGGCTGCGTCTCTGCCACAAAGGAGAGGTCCGTCATAAAGGAGTCTGCCAGCTTGCTGATGCTGGGAGCGGCTGCCGAACGGCCACTGGCCATCGCAAAGGAGCTCTTGGCGCCTTCTGGCTCCCCTCGTATGGACTTGCCGAAGAAATCTGGCGTGGTCTGAACGCAGATGCGCTTGGAGCTGGCATTTCCCTGCAACGGAGAGCCGAAACCCTTCAACTTTGGCGGCGTTTTGCCAAAAAGTCCACACAGGTCGTCCTCGTCGTCCAGCGTGGGCAATTGCGGCGCATGGCTCGGGCCACCAACCACCGAGCGCTGATGGAGCGAAACTTCCGCCATCGCAGTTGGAAGCCTGGGCAGAGTCTCAGTTTTATCCTCCTGGAAGCGGGGAAGCGTTCTCGGTATGGTCTCGGTCTTGTCCTCCTGGAAGCGCAGGGACTTCATCATCGGCACGCTGGGGGCATTCGGCTCCCAGAGTTCGCGACGCGAGAAATTCCCACCAGACTGTCGCTCCGGCTCCTCGCCGACCGTAGACAGCTCAGAGGCACCCAAACGCTGCAGGCGCGCTGCTGCTGGAGTGCACTCCTCACTCGCACTGCTCCTGCTGCTGGTCAGCGGCAGGGCGGTGTGAGATCCCGGAGAGCTAGCTGTGGATGTGATCGTCGACTTGGTTGTCGTCGCCGCCGAGCTGTGAGTGCCGTGCTCCGAGGTCTCCAATATCGTTGAGAGCTGCTTGCGCAGATTTGGCGAGCGGGTCTCCACTGGGGACTCGACGGACGCAGCTGCGGGAGAAATGGCTTGCTCAGGGTCCGGTGGCAGCTCCTTGAGGACGGTGCCAAACTGGCGCGCCGGCGCCTGCTTTTGGGTGCCCTTTGGCGTGCTCACCGCCTGGTTCTTGATGAACATGTTGAACATTTGGGTGGAGCAGGTCTCGTCCGCATCGAAAAAGGCACTCGGCGGGGGCTTGGAACTCGACGGCGGCATCGGATCCTCTGAATCTTCGTATATCTCGATCTGTCGCAGCGGTGGGGGAGCAGCCGACGCTGGTGGGGCAGGCATCGCAAAGTTATCTTCATCTGGCTTGGGTGGTACGGGAGTGGGATCAGAATCTTCAAAGATTTCAATTTTCGGATCCATTTTCGGCTGCGGTGGCGGCGCTGGCGCTACAGGTGAAGGTTCGTCCTGCGTGACGGCAACATCTTCCTCCTCTTTGACCATGGACACTCGGGGCGGCATCACGGATTTCCTGGACGAACCCTGTTGGGCCGGAGGGAAGAAGCTCTTGCGACGCGGCATCTTATTGCCGGGCAGGCATACAGTCTCCTCCATGTCAAAGCTGCCGTGCACAGTAACATTCCGCTTTTCCAGCCACTTGGCCGCCAGGAGCTCCTCTGCCTGGTACTCCTGCTGCTCCTCGTCGTTGTAGAGCTTGTCAAACACGACCTGCAGACCCGGCACAGGGACCGGCTTCCAGTACTGGTCCAGCTCGTCGCGTGGCTGCGGCTTGGAGGCACTGGCAAAGTTCGGATAGCGGCGAATACCCTTCAGGGCGTGGCCCGTGCCCCACCACTCATCGTTGCGCAGCACGAACTGGTGCTGGGCATCTCGGCGCTTCAGGAAGCAATAGGCACGGTACTCCTCTGGGGAGAACTCCAGGTTGGGGCGCGGGTACAGCAGGCTCTTGTGGTAGCACGGCAGGCCGTTTGTGTTGGGCTCATCCTCAATGGTTACGGGCGTTACCCAGGGCTCCTGCGGCCTATTTTTCGCCACAAAGTTGGGCGGAAGTTTGAAAGGTTTGTCCATGTTGCGCTCGTAGTTGGTGATGGGCGGCAGCTTCTGTTCATCCATGTGTATGTCAAAGGCCAGCTCTGGGGTGGCATTGCGCCCAAAGATCTTTCCGGGCTTATGAGGCTTGGCGTGGGCCTTGTTCCAAGCCACCGGCTCCTTGAGATTCTCCTGTCCACGTGCCGCGTCGATGATCGAACGCAGGCTGGACTTCACCTCCGTCTCGACAACTGGCGGCGGGATATTGATATCGTTGTTCTCATCGCTGAACACCTCCACATTGCGACCGGCATTGCGCACGCGGCTTGTGCTGGGAGCATCATTCTGGGGGAGAGCAATCAGAGCAGTCAGAGATCACGATCCCTTAAGATCAGCACTGCACTCACCTGCACCACGCCCGGCAAGTGGCTCTTGACCGCTGCACCAGTGCGCACGCTGCCCACTGTGACGGTGTTGCTGCTCCTCGCACGGCGTCCATGCAGCGACTGCAACGCCAGACGACGCTCATTCAACTCTTGGGTCACGGCATCGGCCTCATCGCCATCGGAGTAGAGCATGCGCTGACCAACCGTGTAGCCGAAATGCTGATGGGCCTCCTGCAGCTCCTCCAGCGGAGCGGCACGGCATTCGAGGCCCAAGCGAAAGATCTCGTCGGCCTTGCGCATGTTGCCGCTCAGGTCGTAGCTGTATGCCCACGCAATGTAGAAGTCGGCCAGCATCGTGCCGATTCCGCTATTGTAGAGCTGCTGGTAGCACTCGATTTGATCCTCCTGCTTTTCCATCTGAGGGCCACCACCACAAAATTACTCCATCAATTGGCAGGTACTGACACTTGGCTGAACTTACGAATTTGATGAATAGCTTGATGAGCCGCCTGTCCTGTCTGTAGCGCTCGTCCTGCTCGAATTTGGTCAGGCATTGGTAGAGGACCGTTTGCAGGCCAGAACCGCTGCCGCCCGCCGGATAGCTCTGCTCGATCCAGCAGATGTACGTATACCACGGCTCCAGCGGATCACTGCCATTGTATGTCTGCACCTCCTGTTCCATTTTCTTGCGCTGCGCCAGCAGCTCCTGGCTATGTGTGGTGTCCTGGGCGAGGGACGCCTGCAGCAAGCTCACATTGCGACCGCTGGCCAAAGGCTGGATGTTCTCCTTAGCGTTATCGAAGTCCATTTTAGTTTTTTATTCGGTTCTTTTTCTTAAAATAGGGGAAACAACAAAACGACAGGCAATGTAAATGTAAATGAAATATACGCGCCGAAAGAAATGCTAGGGATGGCAAAAGCATGTGTTCCCACATGATTTTTCTTACAAACTATCGATATAAAATATTTTTTTGTTATCGGACTTTCAGTATCGAAAATCCGTTGAAAATTCAAAACGAAAATGAAAAAAAAAAACCCCATCAATCATATGTTTTCAGAACTGACATACACGCATCTTCAAATCCGCTGATGACTCGAAAGAGAGCAGAACGGCGTCCAGCTTTCACCGAAACCTGTCGCAGAATATTCTGTTGGGAATTTTCGCTTGTATTTTGTCGGTGGAAAGAGGATAAGTTGACCCAATTACGTAAAATTATGTCTTGAATATCTTGTATGGCTTATATAAATCATGTATACTGAGTACCAGGTATAAAAGTAGAGGCTCGGCATGTGCATTGGCTCACAACGTTCTCGCTCGTCTTTATTGGGTGTCTGGTAAGTTAAGAAAAAACCATATTTAATTTTTTTGTTTGTTTTTTTATTTGTCAATATTAATATAATATTTTAAATTGAATACTCCGCACTCCCCCCTATTTTTGTTGTGATGTGCGTTTGGTATTATCCTTAGAAGCCGCCCCAGTTTCCGCATTCGCTGTTGTCGGCTTCGGATCCACCGCCAAAAGAACTGCTTGCACCTTGGCTGCGAAAACTTCCGCCTCCATTATCGCCAAATGTACTTCCTCCTTCACTGGAAAAGTCTCCACCTCCTCCCCAATTGCCATTGCCTCCTCCGAAGCCACCTCTGCCATTTCCATTGAAGCCGCCTCTGGCTCTATAGCCTCCTCTGCCACGATAGCCTGCTCCATCGCCTCCAAAACCGCGACCTCTACGGGGCCCGCCGAATCCTCTCTTGACAAAGTTGCCACCGAAATTATTAGAGAAGTTGCCGCCGCGTCCAAAGCCACCGCCGCCGCCGAAGCCACCGCCCCCACCACCAGGACCATCTGAATCGTAGCGTCCTCTTTTTGCCGGCCCACCACCACCGCCAAAGCCGGTCTGACGCGATTGATGCGGCAAGATCCCCTCCACACGTCGCAGCCCGAAATCTCCGGCTGCCTGCACACAAATATTCCTGACCACGTCGACCAGCTTGGCATAGGGCTCCTCTAGCTGGAGCACGGTGTCCGGCTTGTCGCAGGCAATCGTGATGAGATCCTCCAGAGCGGGCTTCAGGGCCCCAACCATGGCCGCGTGCTCCGGTTCCATCTCGAAGTTGAGCCAGTTGTCGACGCGTATCAAGTTATTGGCGGCGAGATCGATTTTGCGCGACCCAAAGAGCATCACCTGAAGGGGCGCGACCATCGACAGTTGCTTGCAGGAGACAGCGCGAGTGCGGATCTTCTCGCCGAAGACGAAGAACGGGTAGGGGAAGGTGACGCCCAGGTTGCTGCAGTTCACCGAGGTCTTGTGCAGCAGGGCCGCCTTGGACTCGGTGGTCAGCACCTTGCGCTTCTCCTTGTGCACGCAGATGTTGGGGTAGAGGCCCAGACACAGGAGGGCCAGCGACGTGTCGAGCACCGGATCATTCTCGTTGGCATTCACCTGGTGCGGGATCATGCACTCCTCCGGAAAGCCGGCCTGCTGCAGCAGGTCGAGCAGCTGCTGCTTGGCATCGAACATCACGTTCATTGTGGACAGCTGCAGACCCTTCCATTCGCAGAAGCGGCTCTCCTCCTGCTCGCCCTTATGCTTCGCTTTCTGCCACATCTGGGAGGCGACAATCATGGCCACGTGGTCGGAGCACGTGCGACCGCCCAGGGCCTTCTGGTGGTTGGCCAGGCGTCGCTGCCCAATGTCCAGGGCAAACACCTCCGAGAAGGTGCTCGAGTAGGAGGCCATGTTGGCCACCAGATCGGCGCATCCGAAGACAGCCCCCAGCACCATCATCTTGCCTAGGCGCGGCTCGATCGGAAGGCGCGCCAGCAGGCGGCCCAGAGGCGTCAGCTCGTCGTTGGCGTCCAGGCAGCGCATCTCACGCAGCAGCACCTCCGCCTCAATCACGGCGTCCACTGGCGGCGGCTCCAGGGCCTTGGACAGAAAGTGATGGATGGCCCCGAGGCGCAGCAGCTTAATGGTCAGAGCCATCTCATGCAGTGGCGTGCGGAACATCTCCGGCGTGAGGCTCTCCTCGAGGACTTCGAAACGGGCCCGAGAGCACAGCGTGAAGCAGAAGCCGGGACGCACTCGTCCCGCACGTCCCTTGCGCTGCTCCAGGTTCGTTTTGCTGGCCCACACCGTGGCGTAGCTGGTGAGGTTGTTGTGCGAGGTAAATAGCTTCATGCGCGCCTTGCAGATGTCGATCACGAACACGATGTCGTCAATGGTTATCGATGTCTCCGCAATGTTGGTGGACAGAATGATCTTGGTGACGCCCTCGGGCACCGTCTCGAACACCTTGCGCTGGTCGTCGCGCGGTATCTGCGAGTGGCAGGGCAGGATGCGGTACTGCGGAGTGCCAAAGTTGTTCGACGTCTGCAGGAACTTCATCAGGGCGAATATCAGATTCCAGCCGGGCAGGAACACGAGAATGGCGCCGGGTATGTTCTTCGACTTGATGTGCAACAGAAGCGACTCGAGCAGCTCGAAACTGACATCCGACTCGGAGATGGCGGCCATGGCGTTGCGCGTCTGCTGCGAGTACTTATCCTCGCAGATCTTATTGCAGTTCGTCTCGCCGTCCTCCTTGTTCTCGCTGAGCATCAGCCGCTCCTCATCGTCGGCCTCCTTGCGCTTGCGGCGCGACTCCAACGAGGGAACAAAGCCCGTCATCTGCAGTACGTCTTCCAGGAAGAATTGCTGCACGGGGAAGGCTCTGCCCGGCACCTCCAGCACGGGACACCCCCCAAAGTACTTGGAGAACAGCGTCGTGTCAATGGTGGCCGACATAAGGATGACTGGTGGTGGTGGATGGAAAACATTTAAACATTATAGCATACGAGTATAGGTACACAGACTCCGCATACGCACCATGCAATTCGGGATAGGTGGCCACCATGTCCCTCAATATGACCAACAGGAAATCGCTATTCACATCACGCTCGTGTATCTCATCGACAATGATGTGCGAGACGCCGCGCAAGCCCGCCTCCAGCTTGCGGAGGAGCACACCCACGGTGCAGAAGAGGATGGCGCCGTAGGGTCGGGGAAAAACAGACTCAAATCGCACCGAATACCCGACGGCGTCGCCCAGCTCCTCGCAACGCTCGCGGGCCACACGCTCAGCCACCGAAATGGCCGAGATGCGACGCGGCTGGGTTACATAGATGTTGGCGTAGCCGCCTTGCCCGGACGAGATGTAGTCGTCGAGGATGTACTGGGCTATCTGGGTGGTCTTGCCGCAGCCGGTGTTGCCGCGTATGATCACCACGGGATTGTCGTTGATGGCGCTCAGTATCTCCGAGCGCATGGCCGCGATGGGCAGCTTGTCGCGAAAGTCGAGGAACTGCTGGTAATCGGAATCGTTGTGGCGTCGATCCAGAATACTGCGCTCAAAGACAAGGGAGAGGTCGTCGATGGAGGCGGTGGCCAGCTCGCCTTCGTCAATATTGCAGGCATGCCATGTGTTCCAGTTGGGCATGGGTGGTGCCCACGGAATCACAGCGCTTTCCTGACGCTTCTCGCCCTCATGCTGCGAGTCCAGACGGCTGCTCTGCACCTGTAGAGGTAGAGGTGTCAACATGCTGTCATCATTTCAGGGAAGGGACTACTTACGATCAGGGGAATGGGTGGACCGTCCGCCTCCACCTTGATATTGCGTGGATTAACCACGGGCAGGTCCAGCATCTTGATGACATCGTCTATCTCGTTCACCAGCTCTGGCGCCAGCCGGACCGGGTAAGGCTGCAGCTCCTCATCCTTCTTCTTCTTGAGGGTGCCGCTGAAGGCCTCAATGACCTTCAGATGGAAGAGCTGGCGCACCAGGGACAAGGCGCACGACTTGCTGGCCGATTTCTTGTTGGAGCCCGTCTCTCTGGCCGTCACCTTGCGCTTAAGGGCCGTCACGAAAATCGACAGCTCGGCCATGAAGCTCCTAAATTGATGCATTGATGCGAGTAAAGGTGTTAGGGCGAACCTCAAGAGAACCAAGGGCATGGCCACGCCGGCTGGTCACTTACCGGCAGGGTGGATCAGGGTTGATGAACCATCTGTGCGCAACCGTAGACAAAGCCCTCTCCGAGCCTCAGAGCGATGTGGTACTCATGTCAAGGCCTAAAGTGCTCATGCTTGCGCTCGAGGCAATCTCCGCCTTCCATGCGGGTCCGTTGCACTTACAGACCCCATGCAAGGCTGCCCAGAACGCAGTTGATTAATGTCTCGTACCACGTCGCTCTGCCGGCTCGGCTCTTCACGAATTGCGCACAGCGTTTCAAGACTACTGGCTGCGTTCCAGTCTTGGACAGAAAATAATATTTCCAAATCCAGAACGCAGCTATTCAACAAACAAAAAACAAAACAAAAACACTCGCACACACAAACAGAAATTAGCTGCGGTGCTGGCCACATACCTAGCATGGTCCGGACCCACTGGGGTGTACTTGTAGTCGTCGCGAATATTATTCGCTTGCTTGTACATGTTGAGGCGATCCTTGGCGTTCTCGATGGTCCAGTTGCCATGGATGGCGGCATTCACGTCGATGGACTCTGCCTCATTCATGTCCTTCTGCTCCTGCACGTGGTCAATGATGTTGAAGCGATCGTGACCGCCGGCTCCACCGCCGCCGCCAGGGTGATTCAGGGGACGGTACGCTTCGCCCAGGTCCTGTGGCCCCGATTGATCGCCAAAGACGCGATGACCGCCCCCGCCCCCGCCATCGGCATGCGATGGACCTCTTCCTGGTGCCGGAGCACCCCCATCCCCTGGCACATCAGTGGCATTTAGTTTGCCAGTGCGCACCAGGTAATTGACGAAATCGCGACAGGCGTTTTTCTCGGCATCCTTCTTGTTGGTGGAATTTCCCACGCCGATGTAGGGAGTCTGTTCGACACGCACTTCGCACAGGAAACGCTGGCGATTCTTTGGCCCTACGAAAATCAATTG